TATGTTGTAATAATGTAAACAGAAAGCCTGAATTCTCGATTTCTAATCAAGAAAATTTAGAAAGTTCACAAAAAAGAACACGACAACTATTTGGATTGATATTCTTAAACACCCTTCATTTTTAGTAAGCATTTTACGTACATTGACCCACCCCTTAAAATAAACTTCCTTAAACGATGCTATTATTTAAAACTTCCTAGTATATGGAATTTTTCATGAGTTGTGTATTTTAAATAAACACAGAACAGGCCTTTGTCTTCAAATGCATTTAAATTCTAATTATAGATCAATCAGACGGGAAGACCCATTCTAAAAAAAACATGCCAATTACTGCTGTTTGTTTGCTTATTGTTCTGGTTTATATACTGTAGAAAACAGAGACATGAATGACAGGTTTTTTTAAGGGGCCGACTTGGGTTTCCATTGCGCAACACTTTGCGCATGATAGTAAAATAAAGCATATTTATTCCTTAAAAGCAAAAATTTTCACCAAAATGATAAAAATTAACAAAATTAAGAACTCCTGGGTAAAAAAACCTTAATTACGTACAAGTGGACATATGTAATTTTTCAAACACTAACTACACATAAAAGTTTGTTTATTGCGTTAAGGTAAACTTTAGTTTTTCAAGAGGGGGGTCATCATCATGTTATTAAAGCAAAAAGTATACAATATTACCTCTTGAAATTATTTCAAACATAAAATTTTGAAAAAAAAATGTGTACCTTTTTTTTAAATATAATTCCTTTGAATATGTCATATTTTGTAGTACTTAATAAAACCAGGATAATTTCGCTAATTTTTACATATTAAGATGCCGCCTCTTGAAACCAGACGGTAGAATTTTGTGTTTCTTACATTATTATATGATATTACTCACCACATATCATAATTTGAGGAAAATGTATAATCTGAAGGGCGTCACATTGGCAGTTTCCTATATAACCCTATACTAAATTATCTGTATTTTGTTAATCAAACACATCCCGATATTTTTAGTTTCAATAATTTACAAATAAAATAGGTTTTTGATTTCATTTTCGTATGAAATTCTTTAGCAACATATAAGTCGTAATATTATTAAGACGATTTGAGAAAATATTTAAGACGATTTGAAAAAATATTAACTTCAAATCTGTGTCTAAGCACCGTTAAGCAATATCAAATAAACGAGAAAAAAGGATATTTTCAGATCGAATTGTCTATATACATGTATTTTCCAGTCTACCCGATCATGACAAGTAGCACACCTCATGCTTGACTAGTCAGCAGGGAATGCTCACTCTTCATGGCACCTATCCTACCTCTGATGGTTTGGAGGTCAGGGTTTGCCCTGCTCCTATTTTGTACTGTTTTATGGACATTTGATCTTGAATATTATTCGTTATCTCCATACATTTCATGCTATAAAATATAATATTACACCTCTCATAATGTAATTTATCAGTGGAAGATTAATGAATATTCTCACTGTCACACTGTGGTAGAATATGAAAATGAAATTCGGTATATACGAGGGTTGTTCGAAAAGTCCGTGGACTACTGTAATATCTTTTTTTATTTGACTTCACATGTTATCCAGATTTGGTAGAAATATTTTAACAATAAATCCAAAGGATTTGTATTATTTTTTTTAATACCACGATTTTTTAGTCAATACTTATCCAGAATTTAAAAATGCAAAAATCGGATCGCGGAGCAGGTAAAAATTTAGTAAGTTACGAACAATACACTAAATTATTTCTGTAGTCATATTCTCTGTCTGTAAAATGAAGCAAAAACGAAAAACAGAGAAATCCCAATTTAAATTTGTTACTTCGATTTGTATTCAAAATTATGGCTTAATGTTTTGCTTTGTTGAAAAGAAATCAGCCTAAGAAGAAATGTAGTCCTTGTTGAAAACGACAAAAACGATGACGTTTTAGAACATCATGGAGCAGCCGATTACGATGCAGTTTTGTCTTTTACTCGGAAAAAAAAATACTGAATAAACTCAAAAAATGTTGAAGGAATCAACAAATATGTCACAAGTGAGTTGTGCATGTGTGTACAAATAGTATAGACAGCATTTGTGTGACAAAGGCTTTGTATCAGATGAGGACAATCTGTGAAGAAACGTTTATCTTAAAAAAAGAATCTTAACAAAAACTGTAAAAAGTTTGAACGTCAAGGAAAGACCTAGGGCTTAAGAGTTGCTTACCCTGTGAAAGCAGAGTTAAGTAATAAGAGAAACTAAAATCTTAGCAAAGGAAATTATACAACGATAGCAATTCTTAACAAATGAACTTCAAGCATTAGAATTAAGGATTGGGCATTGGAATATACTTTTTGAAATGTAAAGGAATAGTATGTCATAGAAATTCTTATAATTACATTGCTGTCTAGGGTGCTCCGCTGGATCAAAAAATTGTTGATTTTAAAATGAAGTAAATTGATTTCTATTAAATCAAATGGAATGAAACATCACACAACAACAAAACAAATATATTTACATATTATATTATACATATTTTAAATTTCTAGTGAGTAATATAAAGAAAATTGTCATCGTCCTCGAATTTTTCGTGCCAATTTGGAGCAAAAAACAAAATTTTAAAAAAGGAGTGGTTTCAAAGAGTCAATTCCAGATTTTAAATATAGCATTAAATAATCAAAATTTGATTATGTCCATTTTCGGTTGAACCCTACATTTTTCCGATGTTATTTTAGGAATAGATTTTTAGAAATCAAAATCTCAATGCAGGATTAGCACAGACCGTTTCATGATTGAGTTCGATTTTTCCACTCGGCGAGCAGATTTTTGGGGCTGTTTACGGAGATAAAAGAAAACAAATCAAAAATTTTAAAATCGTAAAATATTAAAGGCTGTTGTTAATTTTCAGCAACATCACATCCCCCTGTAGTAGAAATGTTTATTGAATTGTCTTTTTTAAATGTTTATTTAAAGAAAACCCTTTAAAACTCAGGCATATGAAAAATTCCGTCATTCCTATTTGAAAATCAATCATGAATGTAGTTTCTATTCAAAATGGCAAGTTTTTACTTTCAATCTGATATTTAAACTGAATTTCAATTTAAATAGAAATGTACTAAAAGTACTTGGGTGTAAATTGCGTTTTAGTTATATTCATTAGTGTGGTACTCCTGATATTTTATTTCAGACAAAATCATGCTCCATTGAACACTGGCATGTTGTTTAATCGTAGTCAGTAGGGCGAAATGACATATTGATTATGTGAGGAAAAATTGAAGAAGAAAAATCAGGGATTCTGTTCAGACGTGTTCTTTTGCTGGCGACTTTCTTTAAATCAGTAGCTATTGTAAGTGCAACTTTATCTCCAATTGTATAATTTCAACATAATCTGCTTAAATGTGTAACAAATGTCAATTTAATCTTCATACACAGGTTTCGAAACACATTTCATATTCATAGATAAACTTTTATTTTCATTGGGCTGTTAATATAATTTTATCATTTCCTACAATATTTATCTAATTTTTTTATGTTCTGAGTGCTGTTATCTTTTTACTATCATATTTCGTTATCCCAGATAACTAATTAATGATAAAGTCGAATAGTCGTTTGATTACAAACGTAATGTTTCTTGTCAATGAGGAATATAATTAACAAAAGTTCAATATTCGATATATACCTCTCTCTTTCCTAGAAATATAAAATAACTAGCTCTACCTGTGTTTTTTCTTCAAAACTGTATCAAGAAAATCTTTAATATGATACATTACAACACTGACCGTCACAATTACCTAAAGACGAGGGATGCAAATTCGATAAAGGATTGTTATACTTAAGAGATTAAATTGCGATAAAATATTTTTTTCCGGATGGCTCAATTCTCCTTAAATTGTAGGAATGTACCACATTAAATTGAAGTCTATACATGTATGTATAATGTAAAAACCTTCTTTCATAAGCGATTTAATCATTGCACAAATTGCAGGGTTCTGACCTGTTTCAAAAGATATATTTCAGAATTTTAAATGTAGTGTGCCTGATTCGGAGCAAAGTGAAACATGATATGACCCGGAGGAAAAACGACATCAATGGAATCCAATGCCTAAATTCCTAAAGCAAACTTGAAAATATTGTCAAACATCAAAGCGGACAAAGTTATGTCAATGGAATAACTCGACGGAGTTTCTTATTTTAGATAAAAATCTTTGCAAGCAGATATTAATTTTAATTAAGAACCTGAAATCTAATATTGAAAGAAACTGATTTAATATAAAAAAAAAAGCAAGAAAGTGCTAACTGTTTTTGTTTGCAATTTCGTTTTCAGATAGATCACTGTTAGGTAGCTTTACCTTTTCATTTACAACATATGCAGCGGACAAACAGGCATTATAGGTATACTAGAACTGATTAGCCAAATATTGAATAAATAAATGAAATTTATGAGTGATGTAAGGGTCAATTTTGCCTCGTATATGTTTTTAGTATTTTTATTTTGTTTTTCATAACCAATTTAGCAGTTTTAAGCCAAAAAAGTCTTACTTTGAGTGAGTGAGTGAGTGAGATAAAATAACGAAAATTGATGGCAATACTATTCGCGAACCGACTGTGAAATATTATTATGTAATGTGGTAAAGACAGCTTTCCTTAAATTATGGAAATTGACAAAAAAAATTGTAAAACATGAAAATGTTACATGTCTAGCTCAGCAGTAGAGATAAATATAAAACATTTTGTAGATTAATAAATAAAGCTCAATTAGCTTTTCATTTCCGTAACATACTGGTATGCTGCTTACGTCAGTGTACCATATAGTTCATAAACAAGATTTACAAGTTTAGAAGCTAACTACATTCTGCCTTGATTAAAGTTTAATTTATGTTTAAGATCCTTTCTTTCCTATTTTGAAAATATTTCATTACATGTAGTAAAGTGTTCATTAAACCTGTCAGCAACACTATTACATTTTCAGCGCTGGATGATTTTACAACTGACTACAGAGGAGCAATTGATAATAATTCTTTCAAAATGAATGAGGACACGTTAGCAATTCTGATAACAACTACAACATTCCTGGTGTTTATTTGTGCTATTGGTGGATGTGTTTTCTGCAAAAGAAGACGAGAACGTAAAGGTACCAAACGTTATGGTAAGTAAAATTTTGAATGTTCTAAAAACAAAGAAAAAGAGAGAAATAGAGCATAAATACAATATATCAATAAGTAAAAAGCTCACTGAAGTTTTTCATACTTATTCTGTCGTTATGGCACCTGATTTGTCCTGTGATGTTTTCATATGTCCATGACTGTGTTTTTTCCCGATTTATATTGTTTCATTGGAAATCTGGGCTTGATTACTGTTTCCATTCCATATTCTTTGAGAATGAGGTGATAGTACAGGGGCATTTACTGCAATGATATTGATGCTTTTTGTCATTTAAAAATCAGCTTTTTTATTGAAATACTAATTTTGAACCTATTTATGAAATATTGAGATAACGAATAGTATTCAAGCTCAAATGCCATTTAAATGAAACGGGAGTAGTGCAAACATGGTCTTCAAAAGCATCAGAGGTTGGATCAAGTGCCATAAAGAATCCCTGAATGATTATTGGACCAGTCTGTCTAGTTTCTTAACACGCCATCTTCCATGAGCCACAATGGCACTGTATTCCCTACAATTTACATGAAATCATTTTTGTTTAAAGATGAATGTAAATTTGTTTTTGAAAATGAATTTGAATCGAAGAAAACAAATTACATATAATTGTAAAACGTTTTTAAAGAATTACAGAACATTTTCAGATTGATAGTAGTAGCCAACCAATATTCATAATATTGTGTCTTAATTTTTTTCAAAATAACAACCCTAATGATAAAATTTAAAAAAAAAAACGATTCTGGGGGGTGAAGATAGGACAAGATTTATTATAATTTTACACTGGAGTGAAATGAATTTTACATTGTTGTCTTTTTAAATTCAAATAACATAATGTTGATTTTTTTTCCCTTGAAAATTCTTATTCTTCGTGTCGATTTTTAATCAAGATCTATTCAAATTAAACTTTCTCCTAACTTATTTTAGGTTTAAGAAGTGACGTTGAAGCAAATAAAGATGAAGGTAAGATTTCATCTTGCTAAAACGGCACAGCAACTAAGTTGCAGGCAAGATTTAGGTTCATATTCATGTTGTTCAATGTGTTCTCCTCAATATACTAAAATGTAAACATGCTAAAATATCTAATGTTGGAGAAATGTTGTGTGATTTCACAACTTCCTTCAACTATTTTGTTATTTCAAATTTCCACAATGTTATAGAAAAACTTTTGCATATTAGAAAAAAAAATTTTACTTTTTTTAAATTGAGTTGTGTTATTTAAATCAAGAAATATTAAACTAAAAAAAGAAAACAAAGTAAATGCTTTTTTGGGATTAAAGATGGATGTAGTTTTAATTTGTTTTTGGTAATAAATTTTAGTTTAAGGAAATAAATTAAAAACAAGATGTTTTTAAAAAGGATTTTATGAAATTTTTAATATTTGAAGGCACAACATTTCACTTTACTATTGTTGCTTTTTTTTAAAATTACAACTCTAAACGTAAAACCTCAAGGGATGTTAGGATAGAAGGATTATCATAATTTTACATTAAAGTTAATTGACTTTTACATTGTAGTCTTTTTTTAATTGTAATGTACATATTATGAAATATTGATTTTATTTTTCTTGCAAATTCTTCTTCTTGTCAATTGTTCATCAAATTGTATTCAAATCGAAATTTGTTTTAATTGATTTTAGGTGTAAGTGACATTGAAGCAAGCAGAGATGAAGGTAAGAGTACATGTACATCTTGTACAATTCGCAGGCTTATATGTACGATGTTCATTGTGGTCTACTCAATTTAATTACTAAAATGTAAATTTGTAAGCAAATTTAATGTTGAATTACTGTTAGGTAATTTAACAACTTAAACTGATTTGTTATTTAAAAGATCCAAAATGACATAGAATACCTTTTGCATATTATTACATGTAACAATGAATTTTACTTTTTTAAATAGAGTTGTGTTATTTAAAACAACAACTGTTGAAATAGAAAAGGAAAAATGCTTATGATAATATATTTTTAAAAAGAGTTTCTCCTAAATAATTTCGATCCTGATTTGAGAGAATTGATGAGCTGATGGTCTTATGAAGAGAACTTCAATAAACTATGGATGTAGATATTTGCTGGACTAATAGTCATACATTAATTTTTGTATCTGACAACGAAATGAGCGTGATTAGGGTCAGTAAGACTACGAGGTCATGACTCTTGTCGCCATTCCAGATACAGTAATTACTGTTTGACTATTGGTCCCCACGAATATTAATGTTTCTTCAATAGCCATCAACATATAATTTTATTGTTTCATATCTTTTCTTATTACAGCCCTAATGGTAAAATTGTTGACTAAAGTTGGGGAAGGATTGGATTAGATTATTTGATTGTATATTGTTTAATGTCCCTATCGAGAAATTTTCACCCATATTAAGACGCCCCCACTCTGACGGTGGAGAGCTGTAAATTTTGAGCAAGGAGGGATCTTTTTTTGTGCCAACACTTACTGTGACACGGGACCTCGGTTTATACGCTCTCATCCGAACTTAAAAACCGAGGCCCCGTTTCAGCGGCAGGCGTTGGCACGATAAAGATCCCTCACTGCTCAATGACCCTGAGTGCCGAGTAAAGGTCAAAATTTGAAGCCCTTCATCGGCACACGGTAGCGTTTCCATATGAGTGAAAAATTCTCAAGAGGGACGTTAAACAAAATACAATCCATCAATCATCAGAAGGACCGGTCTCCATGTCCTACAGTGGGATTCGAACCCGCGACGTAAGGATCAACTCCTTACTTAGCAACTCTAGAGCGGACGCTCTAACCACTGCGCCACTCGGGCGACGATTGGATTAGATCTTACATTGGAGTGAAATGATTTTTTTTAATTGGAAGTCACACCAAATGAGATATTGATTTTGTTTTTGTTATTTTTTTTTCACCCTGAGGTTCTTGATTATTATTCAAAATGCATTCAAACTAAACATTCTCTTAATTCATTTTAGATTTAAGAGATGAAGCAATTTCAGCTGAAGGTAAGGATACATCTTGTTTACGTATACCCATGTCAACATCTAAGCTGCAGACAGGATTTAGGTCCATATATTGTTCAATATGGTCTTTTTGATTTAATAAAATGTAACTGTGCTACATTCCAGATACAGCAATTACTGTATGACTACTGGACCGTCCAGTCCTTTTTCATTTTGTATTGGAGTGAAATGAATTAAATGATTTTTTTCTTAAATTGTAATCCACATATAATGAAATATTAGTTTTTTTCTTGTAAATTTTTATTTACCTTGAACTTCTTGATATATTCAAATTCAACTTACATTATAATTAAACATTTTAGATTCAAGAGGTGAAGTTAAAGCAATTTCAGCTGAAGGTAAGGACACACTTTGTCTATATAACCAGACAATGAATTCTTTTAACTGTAATCCACACATGATGAATTCAATATGCTCTTTTTAATTCAGTAAAATGTTAATGTGCTCCATTCTAGATACAGCAATTACTATATGACTTCTGGACCTTTCAGTCCTGTTTCGTGTCAGGCCGTCTTTCTCTTGCTGCAGTGGCACACTAAGCGCTGCAATTTATTTTATTGCTTTCACTTTGGATTGACCCCGTGGGGATCCGGGTTAGAATAGGTCCTCAGTACCCCCTTGTCGTAAAATGCGACTAAATGGGGCGGTCCTTCGGATGAGACCGTATTAACCGAGGCCCCGTGTTACAGCAGGTGTGGCACGATATAAAGATCCCTCCCTGCTCAAAGGCCGTAAGTGCCGAGCATAGGCCTAAATTTGCAGCCCTTCACTGGCAATTTTGACGTCTCCATATCAATGAAATATTCTGGAGAGGATCATTAAACAGTACACAATGGGTCAATCACTTTGGATTGGACGTAGATTTATATTTTTGGTATAACTTTGAAATAAAGAGCACAAATTTAAACCATCATGTTAGAAAACAACAGCTGACTTTTAGAAAAACACAGTGGAATCAATAGATTTCGTGGTGGCTCAGTATTCCACCATGGGCACGTGCACGCTTCATCTACGAATTAACACCTTCCACGAATTGATATGCTCACGTTTCCAAGGCGTATTTACGTCAGTAAAACCTGTAAAACATTATATACGAAAATTGCCCTAGTGAATTTTGCTGCCTATAGAGTAGCCAACATCACATTTTATTTCATCTTTCTCTGAATCACAACTTAAATAGAATAATTGATGACAACGCTTGGGGCAAAAAGGGATAGGACGAAATTAATATGATTTCACCCGGGTTTAAATTACTTTTCTTGTGGAATTTTTAATTGTAATGTACACATTATGAACGATTGATTTTTTTCTTGTAAATTCTTTTTCTTTTTTACATAACTTTTCTAGCAAATATAGGATTGTTCATGTTGGGTGATGTCAAGGCATCCATAACTATTTTGTTTATTTCAACACTCCAATATCAGATAAAACATCTTTGCATATCAATAGCAATAAACATGATAAATATTTACTACAATTTATAAACAAAAAAAGGAAAAGTAACTGATCATTGAACTTTGTAATGGCATATTCTGAAGCGTTATTAGTACAAAATTTCGAGTCGGTTTTCTGATACAAGAGTATCTGTCTCACTGGAAAACTAGTATGCAGTGCTCTGGCTTTATTTTGTTAATATCTTAATTATTTTAGCTTCTTCTGGAACGAACCTATAATTAATGATGACAGTTTAAGTGGGGGGTGTACAGGAGAGGATTTATTATAATTATTTTCATTATTATTTCACACTAGAGTGAAATGACTTCGACAACGACGTTTATATTGACATTAAATTTGATGTTTGTTATATACACATAATTAAATATATTTTTTTTTCATGTACGTATATACATTCCTATTCTTCTCATCGATTGGAATTCACAATGTATTCATATTAAACGTACTCTTAATTTCAGGTTTAATATTTGAAGATGAAGAAATTTCAGATGAAGGTAAGATTACACCTTGCTAACTGCTAACGCAGGATAACAACTAAACCGCAGACAAGATTTATGTTAATATTTAGGTCGTACATCGTGCTCTTCTCAATTTAGTAAAATATATATTTGCCAACAAATTTAATGTCTGATTATTGCTGGGTTCACAATTTTCCACAATTGGTTTGTTATTTCAAATCTCTAAAAGTTGAGAAAAACTTTGTATATAAATAACAATGAATTTGATTCTTTTTTAAAGAAATTGAGATGTGTTATTAAAAAAATATTACAAGAACTGTCCACAATAGCCAAAAAAGATGCATAATTTTATTGCACAACCCCAATGGTAAAATAGATGATGGCTATTAGGTGAGGAGGAGATAAGACATAATTTAACACTAATTCAAACCAGTATGAAATAAAAGTTTACGTTGTTTTGGGTTTTTGAATTTGTAAATTGAAATAAACATTTTCCTCTAAATTCTTATAGTTCTTGAATATTGATAAAACATATTCAAATAAAACTGATTTTTAAAATTAACTTGTTTTAGGATTAATAAGTGAAGTTGAAGCAATATTAGATGATGGTAAGCTTACACCTTGCTAACTGCTCATAATAAATTAAGTATTTACTATAGTTAACAATAGTTAATAGCATATAATATTAGTAACAAGCAACGTGTGGAATTCTTGTTTCCTATTTTTATGATACAAACCCAACTGGAAAATCGATGAAGACCCTTAAGTGAGGAAGGAATAAGACAATATTGTATGAAAATTTCAAACTGGAGTGAAAAGTTTTTTCTACATTGGTGTTGTTTATTCAATGTATTATTCACAGGACAAAAACTGATTTTCTTCTTGTAAACTCTTATTTTTTTATTTTGTTAATCACAATCTATCCAAATTAAACTTGCTCTTAACTTAGGCTTAAGAAGTCATAGACAAAATTTGGGTTTATATTCACGTTGTTCAATGCGGTTTTCTCAATTCAAAATTAGTAAAAATGTTACTTTGCCAGCAGATTTTACGTTTGATTCATTTTGCGTGATTCCATAACTTTTTTCAACTGTTTCGTTGATTTCATCGCTCCAAAATGAGCCAAAAATTTGAATATAAATAACAAAGAATCTTTAGAGACATTTATATCAAAATAGAAAAAGCAGGAAAATACGGATCTTTGAAATTTACAGTTGTGTGCATTTTAAGGTTATTGATACAAAGCATTGGATCGCTTTCTTTGTTTCTCTGGAATTTGCAATGTTCTACGTGTACTTTTACCTTCTTTAGAAACGAACAATTCACAAAACTCTCTTAGACTAGCCCAAAGCATGTTCTTTTTATTTTAAATTTTTCATTAATACTAGTAACCAACGACAAACAATTTAATAGTTTCATGCTTTTCCAAATCAAATCCCTAATGGTAAAATCAATGATGACGGTTAAGGGAGGAAGGAATTGAAAACGATTTAACAAGAGTTTACACAAGAATAAAATTAATTTTTACATTGTTCTTATTGTAATTTTAAATTGTAATGCACACATGACATATGATATTTTCCTTGTAAATTCTTATTGTTCTCGTCAATTTTCAATCAAATCAAAATATATTTAGGTTTAAGAAGTGAAATTGAAGCAATATCATATGCAGGTAAGATTATATCTTGTAAGCCAAGCGTCAACGACAAGATTAAGGTTTATATTTATGTCTTTCTTCTCTTTTTCGTAAAAATATAAATTTCCAAGCAATTTTTATGTTTGACTAAGGCTAGATGATTTTACAATTTCTTACAATTGTTTTGTTGATCCGAAGTCTCCAAAATTTGGGAAAACACCTTGCTTTATTGAAATAGAAATGAATCTCTTTTACAATTAATAAGAAAACACATTTAACAAAATGGAATCTGATTTTTAACTATGCAATTGCATACATATATTTAGTTCATTGATACAAAACCTTGAATTGGTTATCAAAGTTAACCAGGTAAGCTAAGTGGATCCTAAGCCTCTTGCTGAGTTACTTGTACACCCCCTTGAACATTGTCATGTTAAAGTTGAAAAAGGAAAGAAAACGTTTTTCACAAAAGTGTAGCTTTATATACACAAAAAGAATAAAAATTAAATTAAGAGAAAATATGAAGCAAAATATTGGGGAAAAGTTAAATGCTCCATCCCTTTTACTTCTGAAATTATTCATTTTTAGCACAAAGAAGGGAAGCTGATTATGAAAATACTCATGAGGTATCGCTGGATGCTTGTGTGACTTTATATCAAAATGTTATGTCTATGAAATGGCAGAAATTGATTCAAAGAAAATCGGGAAACGACAGCTCGGAAAATGTGTTGTTTTTTCACGAACTGTGGGAAGATTTGGATATCAGTACGGAGAAATATTGTGAAACTACAAAAAATGAAAAGATGACACTTACCATAAATAATATCACAGCTGATGACTGTGGGAGCTATAGACTTCATATAGAATATAAATATGACGTCATCAAACATATTGAATATACTGTCAAGCCAGCTGCAAAGTGTAAGTTTTGTTAACAAACCTATTATTAAGCTCAAATATTGTAATTAAATAATTGACTTCTATGGAAGACCAACTAAATTAAAAAATTATGAAAACTGTTGTCACTTTAACTAACAACGAACTAAATAATGTAACCTTTAATTAGAAGTTAATTAAATGCACGGGTATAATAAAATGTTGAAATTGTGCATGATAAAATCTAGCTTACATCTACATTTTTATATACTATTTACAAAACTGTGAATTTGATCTTTAAAATAAATGTGTATTGTTTCATTTTGAAAATATCAACTTGATGAACCAAGCAAATAAATCTACAGGTATTTGTACTGTGAGCAAGCTCACAAAATTATATCCTTCGATACATTTTTCAAATGTGAATCTGAATATGACAAAAAGGACCTTGGTTAAAAATTGACATTTCTTTCTTTCTTGAATTGTATTTCCGTTAAACATAATGTTTGCCTTACAAACACTAAAAACTTGTTATGAATTTTACACTTTTTGTTCCAGTGATTTTGAACATGCCGGAATAAGTTTGGGTTAAGGTCATGTTACACCATGTAAGGTGTTTCTGTCATTGGCATTTTACTTGTCAGGACTACCCGAATCAAGGTCAAAATACACTATTTTATCAAAGGCAATCTCAAAAACAAGTATGATCGTCCACTGATTCTGGATTACAAAGTCACAGGTTTCTCCATTATTTCAAATTAAAATAAGGCGGAAGACTTACGCTAAGTGCTAATATTCGCGGTCATTTCGCGACTGAATTTACAAAGGAACTACGAAATCAGTAAGAAGCACAGACCCTGTGATTCAGTATTTTTGAAACAAAATGACATTTATTATTTGGCAAATGATTATTTCAATAACAACTGAAAAATAAATCAATTATAAAAAATGCGATATGTATCAAAATACTGCAAAACAAAAGTTAAAATGTTTCCAAAATATATTTACATGTTTACTGTGAAAAAGACCCCTCCCCAACACATAAGTACTTAGGATGAAACAAATAACTGCTTATAGAATCTAATTTTCCAGTACCAGTAGTATCATATGCATGTTTTATGCATTTAACTTTGCAATGTTTGATAAAGGACAGAGGAAATTCTGGTTGGTCACATACTCATGCTCGCATCAGATCTATACATATGTAATTATTGGTCTGAAGCTTTAAGACAATAGTATCTTTCAAAGTGTCGTTTACAACACGTTTTCACAAGCAGTTGAAAGAAATAAAATAATATTTTCCGGATGCATTGCTAATTTTTAAACATTACAGAAATACATGAACAATGTTTAGACTCGCAGTGCAAATGCAATTTTAGAGACGCGATTGTCTTTAACACGTTGAAAATTACTGTATTAAAGCATGAATTAATTGATATTTATCATTTTCAATAGTGATTATAGTGAATTGTGAAAAAATGGCAAGTCTCTTTTCATTCATGTATACAATGAGGTCTAGAAGCTAATTGATTGAACAAACCAAAGAATGGGCCCTAATTAAAGTACATTAACAGATAAGCATTAGAAACCGTAAAACGGTACATAATTTTTAGGGTCATTTGATATATGAATTTATAAATTTTTATCGTACTGACGACGAAAATCGTACTGTGGCGCTAATATTTAAACTGTGGCGGAAATGTGGCACTGATTTTTTAACTGTGGTGCTACAGAATTTAACTGTGGTGGAACGGCCACGTTAAACGGCCCATGAAAGACCCTGTAGTCAGTAACATCCAAGAGAAGAATTATATTCTTTCGCAATAGAGCTTGCTGGAATGACATTGTTCAAAGTCAAGACAAATGTTTGGGCCATAAACAATTCCGTTTCGATTTATGAGCTTGAAGTGATTTTCTATTAAAAGCTATTGTCCAGACAAAAAATTCAAACTTATTGCCAGTGACCTTGAATTTACGGGAATGAGCTTGAAAATAGGTCATGGCACACCCTTGCATCACCAAGAATCTGTATCAAGTACATGTATAAGCTTCTAGTGTTTCTTCATAACAAGGTTGGATAAGATTGCAGGGAAAGACGAATAGCTAAACATACGGACAGACAGACAGACAGACAGACGGACAAAGTCACTTCTATATACACGTATCCCAAACTTCGTTTGTTGTGGTTGTGGTGGTAGAGCAAGATTTTTACATGTATATCTTTTGATTGATGGAAATTTGCTTTTTTTACTTGATTTTCTCTAGATTTGTAAAAATCAATTTCAAAGTCTGCATTGTGAGTTTAATATTCCCTCGCTACTCTATAGAATATTTATGATATTTAAATTATCCAAATAATTATGATTATAAATATGCAGATAAACTTCATTTCTTTATTTTTCAACAGATGGATCTTCAAACCGAATACAGGTCGTGGCTATTGATATTGGAGCAACCTATTCCGGTTATGCCTCTCAATTTCTGCACGACTTCGAATCTAATAAGAAGAAAGATATTTTGACAAGTTATTGGGATTCAGACATTGGAATGAGCAAATCATTTTTAAAAGCACCAACTTCTTTACTTCTGGATCCTGTCAAGGAAAACGATTTCTTAAATTACCTCGGATATGCAGCTGAAGAAATGTATCTGAAATTTATAAAGAAAGGAAGGAGACATGATTGTCATTATTTTCCGCATTTCAAAGCCATGCTCCAAAATCGAGAGGTACTCGGGTTCAGTTAATAACTTAAAGTTCTTTTTCAGTCGTATGTTGTTTTGCTGCTCGTTTCTGAAGTTTGTATGTTCTATAGATGTGAGTTTGAGGAGGGTTACCCCAAATAGAAAGGCAATACAAAATTGATGGTAAAATAAATGCATTATAAAATAACTTTCTAGTATGCAATGGTAGAAACTTTTAATTTTTCGTAAAGTAAATAATTTATAAGTAAGGGTTTTGCAAACTGCATCTACATGACAAGTATATTGAAGAGTATGATCAATGTGAACACCTTATAATTTCTCTGTTCTAACATTTTCAAGGGAATGGCCAGAAAGCTGTAGTTGAAGATTAACGTTTTCTAATTTTGATTTCTTTTGCTGTGTTCCCATTAACATATAGTTTTATCAGTATTCAAAATCATCTGATTCTGTTGACACCAGGTTTGTATTTGATACAGGTCATGATTGAGAGTTGCTTCAATATGTGAAATATTGTTACCATGAAAATGAATTGTGTCATCAGCAAACATATCAACATTACAATGTTCAACAGGTAATGGTAAATCATTGATATATAACAGAAATAACAAAGGACCTAAATTACAGCCCTGTGCTACACCTGCTGTTACGGGCAGTGATTCAGATGAGTACGCACCAATTTTTACACTTTGAGTTCGATCATATAAATATGATTGAAACCATTTAATTGATATTGGATCAAAGTCGTAGCATTTGAGTTTACTAATAAGTATATCATGATTTTCAAGATCGAATGCTTTGCTAAAATCCAAATAAGTAATGCCAACGAAATTTCCTTGATCTATTGCATGCAGCCAGTTATCAGTTAGTTTTGTTAGAGCTGTCTGACACGAGTGAAATTCTCTAAATCCAGATTGTGATTTCATTAATATATCAAAGTGTGAAGTAAAGATGCGTATATTTTCTGCTATATGCTTCTCTAAAACTTTCGATATAGTTGGTAAAATTGAGATTTGGCGATAATTTCCTGGATCTGATTTATCACCTTTTTTAAATAGAGGAGTTACTTTTGCGACCTTTAACTGTGAAAGAAAAGATCCATTGATAATGCTAGAATTTATTTTATGTATTCTTTTGCTTATAGGCAAGCTCAACGCAGCTTGTTTTTGCTAATTTTGTATAAGTCAAATAAAACACTTTCATAGAGATGAATAATGTCATTTATTAAAATGACGGTATAAATGTGAACAATTTAACAAACAAGAAGGGGATCAGATTCACAAGCTTTGATTAGCAGTTACGTAAAATAATTAGGTGTGTTAGAGGTTTGGATATTACACTAGCTGAAAGTTTTAGTCTATGCCAGTAGATTTGTTTATGTCAAGCCTCTTTAATATATCAAATACTTTTGTTTCATTAATCAAGGGAATTTCATAAATGTCTTGATTACAATTTTGTTTCAGTTTATCCTTAAATTTTTCTGATTCGAAAAGATTATAGCATTAAATTATTTAACATTTTTTCTAATAATTATTGTTAAATGCGCATTAGAAGCATTTGCAATGTCTTGTAAATTATAAAGATTTAATCCATTATACGTGATATTAGAAGGAGATGAATTTTAAGAATTTTTATCTGATTTTGAGGCAAGCTGATTTAAATGACCCCACATTTCTTTTGATGTAGAACTATTTTCATTTACTGTCTTATATTATGTAGATTTTGCATCAGTAATTAATGAGGTGGCTTTGTTTCTCCAAAATCTAAAATTTTCCATGTCTCTCAGTTTACGGAATTGATCTTTTATTAATAGCAAATTTTTCTGGCACAAGCTTCAACCATTTAACTTGCGAATATTCTGATATATCACACGCTTTGTTTTAACCTTCGCATGCTTATTTTTATTTAATGAACATTAAAAAGTTCATTTTGAAACAGGTTATTCATAAAAAATCATGCAAAAGAATCAATTCATCAAAATCTGCATTGTATGATATTTCATAAAAAATATTATATATGTACATTAAATCCATTGCATTGACAAAGTACATGGTTAAGGATTTGATTTTCCTTCTGTTCTAATCTTATGGCTGTTTATGCCTAGTGAGTCGGATACTAATCAAATGTTTATATTATGATTATTGTGTGTCACACGTTACATTCAGTAATTGAATAATTACAGGATGCGGATATTTGCATACCACGGTAACCTTTACAGAATCTCCCTCTCACTCACTGCTTCCTGTCCTTAGTGATGGACAACAAGTCATGCTCCACAAGGTGTTGGAGAAAATATATATCTTGTGGTCAGCTGTCGTAACCTTTGTCAATTGCCATGCAAGAGGTTAGTTTATACAAAATTCAACATACATCTTGGATAAAATATATAACTTGTGATCAGGTAAATATACTGTGTCAATGGTCCTGAACGAGGTTGGTTTATACAAAATTCAGCACATCTAAAGTATGCATCTTGTTTTGTTTAAATAATCATTATGTGCATCGTGTTATTACTTCTGGGAAAGATAACTTTTTACTTCCCAAGGACATTAATTATGACGCTTATAAACATGTTTTTTGATATATCCGTAATCTTCCTTTAAGAAATCCAGTGCTTATCCAAAAACATATATTATGGCAAATTAAATTTTGGAGAAAAAACATTTATCATTTTTGTTCTTTTTTTCAATAATGAAGCTGATGGCCAGTGGTCAGATTGGTCTGCCTGGAGTGAATGTTGTTTGGACTCCCGGTCAAGGTCCCGGATGTGTGACAATCCCAGACCAGAACATGGCGGAGCGTATTGTGTAGGGGAAAGTCAATATTTTGAGGATTGCTGGGGATGTCCAGGTACTTTTTTTTTATTTTGATGTCTTGTCAATAAAGTCAATGTTAAAGCACATAAATCTAGACAAAAACACATTAATTATTATCAATGCTGATTCAATCAAATGGAAAGAACAATTAACAGCCACATGAGCCATGCAGGAACTTGTTAATTAGCTGATTGGCAATAACGTCAAAGGGAAGGAAATTATAATTTGTTTCAATAAGTGCTGAATCGCATTGGATTAAATTAAATTATTATGATATTGTTCAAGGAGAAAACACACTTCCCACTTTTTCATCATGGAGTAAATGTTCAACAAAATTCCGGGGAGGCCAGAAAAGTCGAATTTTGTTTTGTAATTTGACTGAAAAAGAAGCAACCAACTACAGATGTCACACAAAAGTAAAGGAACTTGTGATGTGCTCCGAAAAACAATACCAAGGTGTGTTATAAAAGTGAGTGTGGGCGAGAAAGGAAGAGCTCATCATATATCTAATAATATGTTTAGGACACATGTGTTAATACAAATTAATTTGGTTATACATATATAACTTTTATCCTCATAAATATATTAATATCTTTAAAAATAAATGAATTTCTGCACAAAATGCATGAAATATCACATAGGTCCTATCAGTTCAAAATGAAAAACAGAATTTTAGAAAGGGTTCTGTAAGTCTTAACATACTGTAAACTAACTACTATTCGCGTGCGAGAAATATCCTCCAGTTCCGCGACCTTTTTTTTTTGAACTCGCGAATATAAATCGCCGCGATTTTGTTTAGTTTTTGTAAAGAAATGTTTTCTCAGACGCGAATGATAGTTGGTTTACAGTATAGCATTCTATTGTTCTGTAGTCATTGGAAACTGGACGGAGTGGTCGTCTTGGGGACTTTGTCGGGCTCCTTGTGGTAGTACTGGCATTCAGATTCGAACACGTTCCTGTACCAATACATCGCCTGATGACGGAGTAATCACGTGCCCCGGAGATGCAGTGGAAAGCAAAACATGTATTGCATGTCCAGGTTAAGGTTTTGTTAGTTTTCTGCTTTGGCATCTGATTGGCTTTTGAAGAGAGTTGATAATGCTTGAAGGAAGTTACATCACTATCTTCCCTTGCGAGCTGAATGTCTTTTGCAACGACAATTAAAATAAAGCCCACCATTGAAATAATTTAAGTAGTGGTTAAGTGTGCAAAACCATTTCAAAACCAAAACCTGAAAACGACCACTAGTGCACAGGTACTTGTGGACAGGACCCCCTACCCCCCCACCCGATATTCGATCCCGGGGCTTATTGGACATTTTTTTCAAAAATTATATTTATTACACTTATTCATCAATTGTACAATAGGAAAAAGTCGTCAAAATCCCTAAACAATCGCTCCACAAAAAAATACCCCACTATACATTATAAGGGAGAAAGGTATGCCACTCCGGTTTGTTTACATTGTACCCCCACTGGTCTTTCTGGGTTTAAAAACCTGTATTTATTTTATTTCAACCTAAAATGTCGATTCACATCGTCTCTACATATATTTCTGTCTTAGTGCATGCTATCGGATTAACTCTGCATCTCGTAAGAATCCCACAATATCTGATTATCTCCTTAAACGTTGAAATTTCCATAGGTAATCGCAACGGAAGTGCAAAGAGAATGTTTCACTTGTTAGGATAACGTCCGAGAGAGTTTTGGACTGACGTAATAATCTCTCTCGGGTTTTATCATACATTCTCTATGCACTTCCGTTGCTTTTACTTAGGGAAATTTCAAACCGGAGTGGTATACCTTTCTCCCTTATACTGTATAGTGGGGTATTTTTTGTGGAGCGATTGTTTTGGGGTTTTGACGATTTTTTTCATACTGTACACATGATGAATAAGTGTAATAAATATAATTTTTGAATAAAATGTTCAATAAGCCCCGGAGCTGAATGTCGGGGGGGGGGGGGGGGGGGGGGGGGGGTTTTGGTCCACAAGCACCTGTGCACTAGTGTTGCAACAGAAAGCTGTCCTTGTCAATATATATATATATATATATAAGGAAGATTGTAACGCTATCCAGGTACTTTTGTACAAGGTTGTTTTAACTTTGTCCATATTGGACGGGATAGGGAAAAAGAATCAGATTATAAAGCATTTCTAGTTCTGTGTTTTATTGAATCACCTTGAAAAATCAAAAGAAATTTTCTTCTTTTTAATGAGTCACAGAAAGTCCGACGGCTGCCAGAATATATTTATTTTATTATTATGCAATTTAGACCAAATTTACATGTACATTTCATTTGGATAGCACATACACCACAAAATATTCATCCATAAGCTACTTGCTCTTCGTCAATGAAGAAAACGTTGTTTTTAACAAGAAGCCCATTTCCAATGACGATTTAAACAGTAGTTATGCATTTGGCAGTTGTCGTCAACAGCGAATAATAATAAAAATGGAAATGGTTTTGTAGGCGTTGACTGGGACGATATTGTTTGGTCCCCGTGGTCTCCCTGTTCCGCAGACAGACTCGGTTGCACTAGACAAAAAACTTAGAACTGTCTGCACTGTCCGACTCAGCAGGGTCCAATAGTGAAGGAAAATTGTCCTTGTACGGAATTGTTTGTGCATTCAAGAGTAATCGAACCTTCTCGGGCCATTCCTACGAGCGGAAACAGCCTCGCATGTGTTACGGAGGCGCCCATGAGACCCCCCCCCCCATTTACATTAACTTTGAAATACCAAGTACTTAATTAAATGAGGGAGACTTCTTGTCTTAAGGGCTTGGAACTAAACTTTATTGAATGAAATATATGGGGATAACGAACAGTAATCAAGATTAAAAGTTCATTAAACAATACAAAAATGGAGCAGAGTAAACATGGACCTCCAAAAAAAAAATCAGAGAGAAGTAAACGTCCCCTGCCCACCGCTAACACCCGTCGTGTGCTCCCGAATGTAAAGATTTAACCCAAGATGACTTTTAGCTCCGCCTTTTCTATACTTTAATTTAGGAAGCAACTTAATCCAGTGATGTTAATACATTCGAAAGTGTTTTTCCGACCAGACGGAGATGATGCGATTACATTCAAGGGCTTTTTGTTTGTTTTTTTTTTTTGCCTCATCTGCGATTATCTAATAATCATTTAAAAATGAATGATTATAAATAACAAAGCAAAGATGACAATATTGATTAAACGTTTTTTAGATGCTTCAAACAGTTCTGTGTCGCCAAAAAGTCAGATGTCTACAGAGGTGTTTCAATTAGCTCAAAATGAGATTGAACAAAGCCAGGAGGAGACTAGAAATGGACATGACAAAGAACCCCTATATATGACCAGGACAACATTAATTATTGTGACAGTAATTGGCTGTCTCTCCTTCATAGGATCTACCCTTCTGATTACAGCAATTGTATTCAGGTAAGTTAAAAAAAAATAAGTTTTAAAATTTAAAGAGAGTGAAACCATACAAATGAAAACTTTCATTTTATTTTGCGAAAGCGTAGGGACATTAAATATCACTTCTCTGCCAGTCTTTCTCTCTCGAAAACTTTAATCTGGGTCATAACTTTTGAATAAATCGAGAAAAGGGTTTAAGGTCATTGGCAAGGCAGGGCTTGCGGAGAAAAAAGTTTAGTACATAGGTTTTTTCACTTACCAAAACATTCATTGGGAGTGATCTCCCGTTTGGAATTCTCCAGGCGGTGGAAATAAATAAAGCATGTTACAGAGGTAAACAAAAGCACGTGGTTTTTTTAAAAGGATAGAATCAAAATACAAGAAAGAAAAGAAGTGATGGCTTTGTTGTACATTGTGTAAACTAAAGGGACAGACAGTCAACGCGTCGTCATTTACCATAGCTATGCTAGGATGTACAAATATATGACATATGCTGAAAGTGGTGAAAGCTGGGTAACCGGATGTGAACAGTTCTATAGGTCATGTGAAGGAGGCACCGTTTAGTAACTACAAATAAAATCCATGCAAATATATTATGACAATTTGTTTCCAATAACGTAATTTACATGATAGTAACTCTTTATCATTATGAATAATAATTAGATGTTAAGGGAAGTAACTCAAAATTAAAGAACAGTGATGGAATTTCTGTGTCTTATTTCTATATTTACATTTCAGCCAAAATATATTCATGTCATCGGAAATAAGGATACGACAATATATTTACTTTATGCAAAATGTCAATGAAATAAACGTGTTTTAGAGAAATCGTATGGTTAAAAATAATGTAGGTTCTTTTTATCAACATTTTACATAGGAAATGCATTGAGATTTGTGAAAACATTGATTCGACAAAATCTAAAAAGGAAGGCTGGCTTGCAGGATTAATCGAACCAGAATTAAACATGTTTGTTGCCATTAAACCTGTTCAAAAGTTATTGAAAAATCTATACGAAAACCAGAAACCTTGCCAATGTCCTTAATTAAATATTTAACATTAACAGTAATGTACATTTCTCATGACAAAACCTTTCTCAATATACTTTGACTAGGAAAATCTTATCCATGAAATTTGGCCTTATTTAAAAAATTATCATTGCTTTCATAGTGGTCAATGCTTTTGAATGAGAAGAGATATAACTTCCGTATTTCACATTATCTGCGACTATCCCTTTCCAAATGTTTTATGAACCTAAAATATACATTTTTTGGTTTGACCGCTTTAACAATTTATTTAAAATTTTAACATTTTATGCTCAAACTTTTTAATGAACATTCATATATTTCATACATGTGACAACGTATTTACAAACGTTCTATCATTATATTTGTTGATCCCATTATAATTCTTCAAAATTTAACTTAAAAAATTGATGATACCTTTTTAGTGGAAAAAATAGGACGTTCATTTTTAACAAATATATGACAAACTGTGACAAGAATTTCGAATGTGCTTTGACAATATTTTTATAAAAGAAAATTTTTTACGAGATTTATTTTCTCTCAGAAAAGGTTTTTTTCTCATAATTTCATAAATTTTAATAATGAGAAGTTAATTGAAATACTCAGTTCACATACTGAATATGGTTTATTTATATCCGACGCTCTAAGCATTCTGCCCGCCTTGTTCCCCCATCTTCTTTGAAATGGGCATAAAAGGTGTAACTGTAAATATGCATTGTTTTCAAATTTCTGATACCTGTTAATATAAATATATTATTATTCTGATTTATACATTAAAATTTACACTATCAGGAACAACAATCGACGCAATTTTCATTCCCTTAAGGGAACTACAGAAGAAACCAATGTCCGAATGATGCGTACTTTAATCTGCTTAATTTTATTTTCGGGGATGAAGTTATGAAAAAATTTCAAATAGAAAAGAGATAATATATACTTGAGTTGCGAAGGAATGTAGATTTAAAAAATAGAAATATAAGTGAATGCCATATTTTAACCTGATTAATTCTATTTTTGAGGATGATGTTGTGAAGAAATTTCAAATAGAAAAGGAAAAAGATGTCCTTGAGTTGCAAAGGGATGTAGATTCAAAATTAGGCTTTAGAAACATAAGAGAATGCATGGAAACAAAAATAAACATACCTATTCCGATGTACCCGAATGCCTTAACAAAAGAACTGGGATGAATCTTGAGGATTTTAATAGAAAATCAGAATTTCCCGGTACTTACCTGTTGAAAAAGGAAACAAAGTTGTTTTGCTGGACATGAATTCGAAAAACTCTTTGACAGCCTCCAGAAAATAGTTATTAAACATTTAGAATACGTGTTTAGAGAGCAAATGTCTGCAGAAAAAAATATCTGCTGTATTGACAGTTTCAGAACTCTCCGAGGGTAGCGTAATATTGAATGCTATTGAGATGGGTATTCCCCAGACTCTAATTCTTGGTACATGTACCTACCAATTCTTCAAGCACCATTTTGATGGGGGGCACATATCTTATGTGGTTATTGCAGCCCGGAGGACCGGGCTGCTCTATACATATAAGTTTAAGTGTTGGTGTATGGGGATTGGGGTGGGAGTAGTTATTCAGAATTAAAGGTTTTCTAAACATTGAAAAGATTGTTAATCAGAATGTTGTTTTCCTTTAAAAATTACGAGATACATAAAATATTTACTTCCGTAAAGTGAATCTTTAAAAATATATATGCTTTTCATATTTAATATACAAAGTTGCTTATCATTTATTATCGAAAAATGACAGGTCCCTTTTTTTTAGAGCATCGAATTTTACTTCTCGCATAAAAACGTACTCTGCACAGTTCGTGTTTTATATTCTAAAATTGAAAATTAAATACATTTTTGAATATAGGTGATGCATGTGTCTAAATTCAATTTATATTTTATGCAGCCAACATTTACTCGAGGAATTGAAGTTTAAATTGGTATCTTTTTTGTTTGATATTTATCCGACTACAAGTTTTCAAAATATTCGCGACTAATGTCTCCATCAATTAGACGCATACCTTTTCACACATATCGAAGCGGTTTGATGATCAATACTCATTTCCATTGTTTACTTTATATATTTCCCGGTCGACAATTGATGGTTACATCAATGTTTTCTTGTTCTTCTTGAGTTAACTATTTCAGAATGTCATTGATAATATATTATTAGTATTAGTATTATTATCATCATTATATAATATTATAATATGAGATAGTGAATATATTGTACAGTTTTTGTGTGTGTTATCCCGTTTATTGTTATTTTTTAGACTTGTATGTACATGTACTAGTATTTTAATAAACATACACATTTATTTTTAAACGATTTAAGTGCTGTTCGTGGACTTTTGCTTTCTTTTCTACAACCCTCCCAAATTAATTGTCCAAAAGAAAAGGTAAGTAAACAAGATAAACATACATTTAAAACTGAAATATTCACCAAATGAATAAGTCAGTAATCCTACTTTCGTTTTCCTACATTTTCTTACACAATTTTGTGTTGTTTGTGGAATTTTTACTTTCGTTTCTACAACCAACCAAATGAAAAGTCCTAAAGAAAAGGTACGTAACCAAGACGTTTTTTTTCCTATTTCCATTTAGATCTAAATGATAAGAAAGTCATCATAATTATTCAATCGGAAACTATTTGTTCCAAGTTAAAACGTGTCAATATCATCAGTGTACAAAACATGACATCATTCCAATTACACTATATGTGATTTGTTTAGTGTTTACTTTTCTTTTGGAGACTAAAACTTACTATTAAGTACTCATTTATTGTGATTTAATTGATAATTGTTAACATCCCATTCACTTATATAGAGACCTCACCGTATACCAGTGAAGGGCTTTAAATTTTACTTAACATTCACTGATATTGATGATGTGTGTGGGATTTTTATCGAGTCACAGTAAAGGGTTTTGTTTTTAAGGTCACAAACGAAGTGTCAGCAACTTTCAAAGTGCTTAGCGGATGAGCACAACTCCACTCATTCCTCTGATCAAAATTTATTGATACTTTCATCGATTCATTATAAATGTAACATGATGCCATGAAGCACCTTCATTTTTTTACTTTTTGATCTGAAACTTATTTCGGGCTTCCCAGAGAAAAACATAGCTTTGCCATTAAACCATTTGGGAGGCGGAGGTTTCTGCGCCAGTTTTTACTATGGCCCCTCCCAATAGCGTCCCCGTCATGTCAGAGGCGCAGAAAATGAGGTCATCATTCGGAAAAATGGGATCACGGTTGACCACAACTGACTAATTAAAAGGGACTATTGATTAGAACTGACCAATCACATAGCAGTAATTTATTTACATTGTTGCCATATAGTGTCTTAATTAAAGAATTATCTTTAATTGATTAATAGACATTTGGGAAAAATCTCGAAGATTTAAATTTACCATTGATTTATGGTGTACGTATTCAAAATGAACACGGGAAATTTAAATTGAGACAATATTGAATGACATACATGTGTATTTATTAAATGGTACATTAGTCAAGCGAAACATTACAGGCCTAGGTAAAAGAAGTCATGAAAGAAATTATCGATGAAACACGAAAATTAGGCATAAAATCCTAAAGCAATGTAAATTTATGACATATGAACGAACCTTTTGCATATTTATTTAATGAAGGATATGGAAATAACGAACAGTATTCAATATCAAAATCCATAAAACAATACAAAATAGGAGCAGAGCAAACACAGGACTCTAAAACATCAGAGGTGAGATCAGGTGCCATGGAGGAGTGAGCATTGCCTGCCGACCGGTCACAACCGCCGTGTGCTCCTTGTCATGATCGGGAAATAACGGAAAAATCCTTCGTCAATTCAGTGTATAAATAATGGACTAACAATTATTATGAAAAACGTCAGCCATCATTTGACTCAATGATTAACTGTATTTGCTGACAAGGTCATAGTATCGACCTTAGAACTTACGAAATGATGACTTTAAACGAGACTGCTGATAGTCTTGTTTCATCAACTTGTTTGTCAAAAATTTACCTCGTTTTAGAAATTGTTCGTACGTAGAGCATGCTCTAGCGTATCGAATTAACTGAGATAAATATACTCCGTAGCAGGTGATGACGGTATATTGCTGCACAGGTAAGGGAAGTTGAATATAGAAAAGTAAAGTCATCACGTTTAGCATAGAGCTTGGTTGTTAGATTACTAATAGTGTCTTTTTCAAGTAAAATATCCAAGTATGAAACAGATTCGTCAGACAGTCTGGCATCTTTTATCTCAAGCTCACCAGGATATATCGTATTGGCGTAGGAATGGAAATTACCATTGTTAATTGACAATACGTCGTCGATATATCTGAATGTCGAGTTGAAGGCCACAGCAAGAGTTTTCTTCTTTTCACGCATAAGATTTTGCATAAATTCTGCTTCATATGAATACAAAAATAAGTCTGCTAATAACGGTACCCATGGGAATTCCAACAGATTGTTGGAAGACCTGGTCTCCAAAAACCACATGGATATTGTCAATCAGAAACTCGAGCATCTTTTGTATGTCAACTGCAGAGTACTTGTGTGTTAATCTATATTCACATTTGCATTACATCTTTCTTAAATGAACCTATTGAAGAGAGAAAATATGTTCAATTCTGTGTGAACTTTATTTGGGGGTTAGAGGTCATACCGCGACCGAATCGCTCGTCGAGGTGATACTGTAAACCAACTTTTATTCGCGTGCGAGAAATTTTCGCGAAGTTTGCGAGAACCACGTCATCGCGAATATTTCTCGCCGCGAACCGGCTCTTAATTTCTTTTTGTCTATAAAAAAGAAACCTTAATAGGCTTTATCGCGAATATTAATCGTCGCGAACTGTTTTTAACTCGGCAAATCGCGAAATAAAGTCGTCGCGAATAAAAGTTGGTTTACAGTATCTTGTTTACATTTATTTCTCTCTGTTTTCGGAACTTCCAAGTTAAAAGCGATGAAAAGGGTAAAATAACTGACACATATAAATATTTTCATTCAACAAATGTTCAATAGATCTTCCTTTGGTGTGAATTCGAAGTATGTTTTAAATACTATAATTACAGCCGAAGATCGGACTAAACTTTTAACCAGAAGTTCCTTTGAAGTTATGTGAACTAGTCAAAGTCAGAAAATAAATGAATACTTTGAATTCTGCTCTTTCGTATTAATCAACTATTTATGATGAAATAAAATTTATGATAAAATAAAAAAAAATGGAAATATGTAGCCCCAGGCTCACTGGTTATAAAGCGGAAATGCATTTTCTCTCTGTTACTATGATCTACCTCTGCGTATTAAGTAACCAAAGTAAGCATTCCAAGTGTATAATTATGATAAGGAATGGTGCCTCTTTCAAAATTGAATATCACGGCCTCTGGTTTAAAACATAAATCAAATTCAATTGTTGGAAAGTTGTTACACGATACTCAGGTGACCTATAACGCCCATGGACCTCTTGTTATTATCTTTTCTACTTAAGCTCGTCTTATAGGTCAAAGTTTACCAATAAATATAAAAATCATGAAAGGAATTATCGATTAAATTTTTCTGCTCTCATTTAATCGAAAATTTCTTTCATGATTTTTATTTTACCTTTTATTTATTTATTTATTTATTTATCTATTTGTTTATTTATTTATTTATTTATTTATTTATTTAATATTTATTTTTCTTAGACTCGGTGTTCAATAGAACAATGAGATACTGAACACAGGAAATCTCTAGAATTTAAGTAAATTTTTAATATAAACTGTTTATTAGCTATATAATTTTTTTTAAAATTTAATTGAATTACTAAGTTATTGGATTACTTTTGGGATAAAAAGCAACTTTTTTCTATGCTTCGCTATCATATCCACTTTATTTTAATATATTTACTAGAGTTGACAAGGCAATAATTTGAAAGAGATGGCGTCCAGTGAACAGGCAGACTACCTGCTGTGTGCTGCCATAGACTTGGGCACGACGTACTCTGGATATACCTTCTCAAGCAGGCACGATTTTACAAGAGATCCGACAAAATCTGCAATCAAACAATGGATTGATCCAATCACAACAATGACTTCCCAAAAAACATCAACCTGCATCTTGTTTACAAATGAAAAACAATTTGCAAAATTTGGCTTTGAGGCAGAAGAAAAATATATGGAGCTTACACTAGATAAAGAGCAACGTGACTGGTATTTTTTCAGGAGATTCAAAATGTCCTTATATACTATACGGGTAAGTAGAACATTTAAATCAATTGTTTCACTCAAAAAATACCAATTATTAGTTTCCCTATACCTACAATATACCTCCACTCTGGAGTAGCTTTCTGACCGCTGCTACTCGGGTGACATGAAATTATGCTTCTTCTCGCATTTAACCTGTGTTTAGATATTTACTCAGAGTTTTGGTTAACAAGACATTGATTGATATAATTTCAAAATCTTATGACAACAGTTGTTCTAAACAGACAAAATCATGTAATTATTAAATGCCCTTTTCAAAATTTAATATTTTACAATTTCAGGCGAATATGCATGCATGTAATAGCAAATTTGTGGTAATTCAGTGATTTTTTTTTTCATTTCTTTTTTCTCACATAGAAATTTTTCAAAGAAATTTTATTATAGAAACTAATTTCTTGTTTTTCCCTGTATCGTTTTGCATATTTGTTATGTGTTTGTTAAATGTTATAATTATTTATTATTATAAATATAAGTGGAAAGCATGCACATGAGACTTTCTGATGTGAACACAAAAGCCATTTAATACGAGATGTTTTTAAAAATATGATCAATGTCTGTTATAATTAAATATCGACAGAAAAAGGGAAAAAGAAGTAAACTGGATCTTTAGATACTTAAGAAACCCCATACTTCAACAACTTTATTATACTAGTCTAATAATTTTTTGTCTTATCTTAAGAACTCTTCCATTATTTGGATGCGACATATTTTGCTGAGAATTATAATTCTGATCATAGTTCAAGCCATAAAGTATGTTAATGTGAATTATTTGCGAAATACTCAGGGGCTTCTAAACATGAAAAGTAGCTCGGGAATCATAGGTCCACAATGTACAGTTGGTTGTTTTTAATTGCAATTGAGGTAGTTTCAGAAGGACTTGGTACACAGTTAAGAAGTCTATACGCTGTAGTAGGGTTTTCGATTTCAACAACCGGTTTTGCAATGGTTTCAAAACAAGGATATTCTTTGAATGTTATATATTACATGTACTTTTCAATTGCATGACTTATAGTTACAGTCTAGGATAGGAGCTCGAAGCTGAAACAACTTGTTTCCAATCCTTTTGAGTTATTCAATAAAATAAGTTTAAAACAGCTACACATCCTACATTTTGTTCTGTTTTGACTTTGTGCAATTACGAAGACTATACCAAACTTCATCTTCTTTATATCTACACATCAGTAAAACTACAGTATCTTAAGTTTTAGTGGTTTTAAAGGGTGTCTTCCCACTTAGCCACAATTCTGAAATTGTTACAGGTGACTGGTTTTGGCTCGGTGGGAATGGTGTACAGGTAAGGGCAGGGAGAGAACAAAAGAAATTAATTACAGGTGTCCTATAGTCTGTTTTAGAATGACCAGTGCTATGAATTATTTTAAATTCTTTATTTATTATATCTGATTCTTGTTAATTTTTAAAAAATTTTTAAAGTGATGACATTTTTTTTAATTTATTTTTTAAATATTTTGTTTATTGTTATTTTTTTTTTTAATTCTAATTTTTACTTACATGGTCTTTTTTTTTTTTTAAATTCATAAGTTTTTATTTTTTTTATTTTTTATTGATTCAACTAAATTAATACATAAAGAAGCATATTTTATTTTCAAGATATTTATTTCAATTCTTTTTCTTTTTCACATCAAAAATGAAAAAACACAAAATATCACACTGACACTTTAGTTAAATATTAATTAAGTTAAATAAAGTTACATTAACAGGCATATAAAAGTAGCCATTCTTACATATATATACTAGTAATCATTTTGATAAATAATGGTCATATCAAATATTTCATACATAAAAATATCATAACAGTCACTATCATATTATATTCAAGTTACTAATACATAATTATCAACATGTAGAATGCCAAACAGTCATAAACACACAAAGACACATCACTCCAAATGCAGTAGATGAGAGGCAGCATCTGCGTAGTCCATTATTTGCATATCTCCTCGGCTTGGTCTGTCCTTCAGGTCCTGGATGCGCCGGTCCAATTGCCGATATTTCCTTTTCTTGGGACGGACAACACCACCAGCAGCAAGCTGAATCATTTTGGCTTCATTGGCTGCCTGCTCCTTCTGAATTATTTGTACAAACATGAACAAATTTGATGGGGGCGCCGACACATCCGGTTGAACTTGTGATGCCATCCTTCCACTGCATTTGTTGTCCTTGGCCCTTCGTTGTCATAATGGTTCTAATTCATCAGATGGCCCTCAACCCAAGTCTCGGTCACATAGTCTTTGAAACGTCCGACATCTTGGTTATCAGCGTCGTTGTCCTCTAGTGCCTCAAACCACACGTCTCCCACTTGCTGTTCTGGAACCAATGGAAGAACAGCCGCTCTCCTTACCAGGCGATGAAAGTCTTCATCCTCCCGGAATTGTGTCGTCAATCCACATGATTGGACTTTCCTCCATATGCACTGGGTATAGTGGAAAAAACATCCCTTGATAGATGCCCTAGAGAAGTTTCCTTGAACTGCATTCCTTGCGGCGATTTCGAAGTCCAGTAACCAATGTTCGGGAGTAAACACAGAGCGTCGGTCACTAACTGTATCCTTAAGAAGCACTAAGAAACGGTTGTAAGTGGCCTCACTCTTGTTGGGTAGAAGTCCAAATACGAGGATACGAGGGGAAACATAGTTCCGTTCACATTGGCGTGCAGTGTATAGAGTTGTGTGAAGAATCTGGTGCAGGAATAAAATGTTCCATCACTGAAAACGGTGTCCGCCGCACACAAGAGCTGTACGTTGGATCTGTAGAAAATATCAGGATTTGGTGTCTTTGGGCATCAGTGTCGTCACAGAGAAGGAACCTTTCTCCAGCTGAAGTACAGATCCATGGTTCATTGAGGTTAACTTCCTCCTGCGAAGTAGGCAGCTCTGGAGTTGTCTTAGCCCGATTTCTGTACAAAGCGGACTTACAGGCCTGGAATGTTGGAATGTTCCTAATCATATCCACCACTGAATCATCAAATTCGGTGTTGCGTAAACCTCCTAACTCTTCGTCATAGATGTTGGGGATTGGTGATGCCTCCTCTCTGCAACTCTTCTTCACACAATTGATGAAGGATTCGGCTGCTAGTCCAATGTAGTTGTCCTCATTGTTGTGTGGTCTTCCAAACTTCACCACGATGTTTTCGGATGTTGTTAATGAAGCTGGACACTGTCTGTCAATACGTCTCCAGTAGATTCTCTCGTTGTATCTTGTTCTTATGGAGTACTTGAATCCACCAGGAAGAAGAAACCTCCCCCTGCCATTCTCCAGGAAATCCACCCGTACTTGCACGTTCGCCATACTTAATAAAGTGATGCATAGTATCTGTTTTTTTTTTCTCTTCATTAGAATTAGTAAAAAAAAAGAGCACTTAATGAATAATAATTGCTTAAATCCTAGGATTTCAAACGGAATTAATGTCAATTATTTCCTTTCTGGATACATTAATTACATCAATTATCAAATAGATACACTTAGGCAAAGCATCAGAGGGCACTTTTGTTTATTTATCTCTGGTTTGATAATTACCAACAATTTTTCTTTCTGTAAATACTTTATACAAAATATAATCTACATGTATGATATAGGAATTGCTAAATTAACTATTTCTTATATATTTCTATATAGATTTTTATCTATTCATTAACTACTTTTTATTAATGCATAACTAATTTCTTTCTTAATTTCTTTCTTCGCCATTTTTATTTAATATCTATTTTTTTTAAACATTTTTATTCCTTTATTCAATTATTTCTTTATTGATTGATTGATTGATTTATTTATTTATATTTTTAGTTTTTATTTATTAATATATTTTTATTGATTTATTTATATATATTTTTTAATTATGAATATATTCTTTCTTTCTTTACTTTTTTATTTATTTATTTTTATAAATATATATAATATTTACTTATTTGTTTTATTTTATTTTTTGTTAATATATATATGAGTAAATAGGTAAATGTTTATATCTCAGGTGAAAATTACAGCTAAATTACAGGTAATCAGTCTAAAACAGACTATACACAGGTGACCACTCAGGTGTGTAAATAACAATTTTGGCTAGGTGGGAATAGAAATTTCAGAATTTTGGCTAAGTGGGAATAAACCGTTTTAAAGTATGAAATAGAATAAAAAACACGTCAAAGGGATAAACAACTCTATGCTGTAGATTTGATATTTCATTTGTTTATTCCTTTTTTTGAGTCCAGTCATGACAAGGTGTTAGTTGAAGATGTAGATGGAAAGACACTCCCAGCCTTGCTCGTATTTTCGGAGTCCATACGATATCTCAAGGATTCACTTTTAGACGAATGTAAGAAGTAAAACTCGGATATACAGCTAAATGACATTAGATGGGTTATTACAGTGCCAGCTATCTGGTCCGATCCGGCAAAAACATTCATGAGAACAGCTGCTGAAAAGGTCATAACCTACTTAGCTAACAACTTCATTTACTTTCTTTGTAAAACAATGATTTTCTGTCAGTCATATTCATTAGTTCATAAAAGTTACTCGCATGACATTTTGTTATCCTTGATTACAGGCATACATAGTGTTTTTTTTTTTTTTTTTTTTTTTTTTTTTTTTTTTTTTTGTAGCTTTTGAACTTTCCAGCTACCTCTTAGAAACGTCTGAATCGATTTCGATAAAATTTGGTTTTTACCATGTGAAGGGTGAATTGGGACCTGGGAAGTTGGAGCAAAATCGAGAAAAAAATGCAACCTTCGAATGTTTTTCCTTTCTCTTATCTTCTCTTATACCTATAGCAGGCAAACTGTAAGCTTGATTACAAAAAGAAATGTGAATAACACTAGGTAGAGATATGTATGCATTATTATGATCCCACCTCTAATATTTCGGGTCCGTGTGTGCTCTGCTCCTATTTTGTATTGTTTTATAGACTTTGAGATTGAATACTGTACGTTACCTCTAGAAATTCCACGGTTCTTGGATATATGAATAAGACCGTTATTTAGTATGAAACATATGGAGATAACGAACAGTATTCAAGATCAAAACTCCATAAAACAATACAAAATAGGAGCAGAGCAGACTAAAATAACATTCATTTAATTTGAATTTATTACCTTTACGAGTGTGTGTATTCCGTCATCTGAAGCGATCAAAGCCTGAGAAACTTTTGATATTCAAGTGACCATGAAAGCCCCTGGGCTTCTTGTATATACATGTATAATGCTTCAAAATGTAAAAAGAGTGTCTTTCAATATTCATTATTATTTCTTTATGCAGTCTTCATTGTAAAAGATTGATATTTCATTAGGCAGGAATATCTTCTGAATAGTTGACAATAGCCCTAGAGCCAGAAGCTGCAGCCATCTTTGTGAAGTACCTACCAGTCGAAAAAAAGGTCGATGGAGAGCTTGGAGAAGCCTTCAAAACATTCTCAAAGGGGTCTAAATACATAGTAGTTGATGTCGGTGGTAATTACTTTTTTATTTTAATCATTCTTCAGAATAATGTTAAGAAGATTTTTATGCATTTTATTTTAAAATGATTGTCAAAAATATTCGCAAAGTAAAGCAACCAGAGTATTATTTATTTCATCGGAATTTTGTGGGTTTTCCTTTTTACTATTTATATTATTTACACATTTAAAAATGTATGGTAAAGACATCCTGTGAAAAAAAAAAAAAACAACAATAAGATTTAAAACTGTTCGCATTTTCATTTAACACGGACAAAGATAATGTTAATATACTCTAAACTGTGTTCAAAAACTTAAAGGTTATTTAATAAGGTTGCTTTGTCTTGCACATTTTCATTTATTTTGCTTCACTCTCAGTTATTTATTTGTTATGTAATTGAATAACCAAATACATTTGACAATTCAATAAATAGAAAAGCTTCAGGAAAAAAGAACAAACGTCTACTGGAAACAAGGTTCAATTCTTTTTTTATTCAGCAGATTTTTCTATAATATAATGGTATCCGCATATATTTAAAATTTTGATCACCCATAATGGTCCTACAACTCCGGGGGTAAAGCTGGAATAATTTGTATAACTGCCTGAAGAGCCGAACATGGCGAAAGCGCTTGCAGTAAATGTTTTGTGATATTTTTGGATTTTTACTTTTAAATATATATATATATATATATATATAGAAAGCACAAAGAAATTCACTTTTACAAGGATACCCACTTCCGCCCCAGCCCGGGGTTGAACTCTCGACCTTCGGAATCTGTCTCCTAGCAGTGCAGGAACAGCGTGCTAGACCGCTCGGCTATCTAGGAAAGTCAAAAAACTTGCTTTCGATCCCGATGGAATTCTCGCGGCGCTGCCCTACTACACGGTCATTGAGAATAGAAGTGAGATACAGTTATTTGGACATTAGTTTTAACAGAGGATTGTTACCAATACATGTTGTAATGAAATTGAATTATTATTTATAAAGCACATTTTACAACAACTCTTAAACTAACATAACTCCCTAAGTGAAGAAATATTAATATAGAAAGCACAAAGAAATTCACATTTACATGGATACCCACTTCCGCCCCAGCCTGGGGTTGAACTCTCGACCTTCGGAATGTGTCATCTATATATATACTCATCGGAGTTACGCCATTTTGAGAGAATGAAACAATGTACGATTTACTGATTGTCGCAATTAATTAGCATAATTAATTCGTTCAATTATGTAAATCGCACTTCACCCGAGTATACCCGATAGACCGGACGCATTTCATAGCGGTCCGGATTTCTTTCTTTATTAGTGTTCTTAAAAATTTCCAATTCATCATGTAATTATCAAGTATGTAAATATCTAGTGTTTAGTAGTTAAGTAGTAGTGCTAGTTGTTTTTGTTTCTCTTTTTCCTTTGTTCTTATGACTTTTTAACTTTTTTCTTCGTCCTGAGGAAGGGACAAGGCGTCCCGAAAATTTGACAATTTTTATTGTTCGTGTCGTTGGTCATTTTTAGTGCTTTATATATATATATATATATATATATATATATATATATATATATATATATATATATATATATATATATATATATATATATATAAATTGGTAAAACTAACTGGCCTCTCCCATTATGAACAGATCGATGAAACTTGTTTTCTGACGTAAAAATAAATTCATATCATGCTAATCGAGGACTGACGGTACATTAATTTCTAACTGACCAATCAGCTAAATGAAGTGCATTACGATGAGTACCACGAAAACACTAAAGACATGTTATGATTGGACAAAAGACTTTTTTAACCTTACTTCCATTTTTTATGCATTTGACTCACAGATTAGACACGGATCTACCATTCCCAGCTCACAGTTACTAAAAAATGATTTATAAATATAATTGTTTCAAGTTTTGTAAAGCATTTGGTGGGACGTTCCATAGGTCCACACGTATTCCCGAGTATTAGTAAACACAAGATTGATTTGCATTTCTTGACTCAAAACGGTAAACTTTGCGGTTCCAAGCGTATTATTATGTATAAACAGCATTTGCTGATCTTTAAAGTTTGAATAGTGCATGTCAGGGATAATGTGTAAATTGACCTACCGTGATACAATGTAAACATGTACTAAACCAGGATGTTTTGTCGTTCAGTCATCGGATTGTACAATTGTTCACTATAAGCGACTACGAGGGGTGATCAAAAAGTTCGCGAACTAAATGAATAACTTCCATAAAAGAAACAATATTTGGTTTCAATGTTGATTATATTTTAAATTAATCCTCCAATTTTAATGCACATCAACCATCGTTCTGCGCATGCGCGAATCACGTGATATTGGCGATCACGTGGCCCCCTCCGTAGCGTTCTGTCACAAAATTTGAAAGATTATTCTGAGTTTTATATATCTTTCCATGTGAGTTAATTTTTATGACAAGAACAGTTCATTTGTCAGAAATGGTGAAATCTCGGCAACAGAATGGTTGGATAAGAATATCCTTTCCAAAAATAAGCATAGCGATCATTAAAACACAAATCTTCCGTCTCGGAAAAGACCTTTCTTCAAGGTGGATACAGAATGGGTGCCTCCTTTTCATCATATCTAATATGTTTAAAATCTAAAATAAACGATATCTAAGGTATTTAATAATCATATTATTGTTCAAATATTCAACTATTTTCAAAGTGTTAATTGGAGGTCTTTGATAGCAAATTGCTTAATAAAAAACACATCTCTTTTCAAACTTGCTTTCACTGGGCAAGATGACAAGTATCATTTTTAACCATCTGCCTTCCTTCACTAAAGCGATAAATCCAATCAATAACTGAATTTATAGGAGCTCATTTATCTTAATAAACTGTGTACAAATTTTTATATGATACTGCAGAGGGATTTCTAAGATATACAATAAATTGTACAGTTGTTTGTTGAACGAGTTCGACTGAGACAACCATTTTTCGTCACAAGTGACCTACATAGTGACGTCATTTTCACATTGTGACGTCACAATCAAGGAGAAAAAAAATTATTCAGCATATTCTGTTTATAGAACATGTGTATGGCTATGCGTGTACCGAATTTCATTCTACTCTGAATTGTGATTTTGAAAATATAGAGATAGTTCGCGAACTTTTTGATCATCCCTCGTATGTGCGAAATAATAACAACAGCCATATAAGGAAGAATTCCCGGACTTGTATTCCCATCTATTATACTAAAACCCGCGTATTCTCTTTCAGCCAGGTCGAATTTTGCTTTGATGTGGTCTAACAATTCATAGATTATGCATTCTTATAATTAAAAGTGTAGAAAAGATAGATAGCAGTCATAGTCACATTACCCTTTGAATCTACACTACCTGAGAAAGCTACATGGCTGAGAACAGAATAAAGAGGATTTTTCTCCATGTATTCCTTTTTAAAACTTTGAATTCCCATTTAGGCTTTAACCAAACCCCAGCGGTTTTGATTTGAAAAAATCCAAATATATTGTATATTACAGGATTTACGGACGTTTTGGCTTCTTAGGCCCGGGGATTCTTGAGCTTTCAGCTTTGCGCTGGAATCTTCTTTACATAAAATGCTTTGTGTGTGTGTAGGGGGGTGGAGTATTCTATCGCATTGCACACAATAAAATTTGTTTTTCGACAAAGTGAATTGTATCTAAAGGCCATCGTAAAATACCCACGGGGGATATCGTCTTTAGATGAGTAAAGACAAAATTACGTGTGGTATCCGACAATGTCTAAAGACACTATTCATTATATTTTATGAAGGTGGAACCATTGATATAACAGCACACGAGGTTTTGGAAAATGGAAAAGTGAAAGAAATTCTCAAGGCATCCGGTGGAGACTCGGGAGGCACAAAAGTCGATAAAAATTACATTGACTTTGTGGAAAGCATTGTAGGTGAAAATGTAATGAGGAAAATTAAGAGAGAAAAACGAAGTCTGTTGTATGAAATATCTCGAGAATTTGAAATTGCAAAGCGTTCAATAAATCCTGGATCCACCTCCAAAGTCAATATTAGAGTTCCATCTGAATTATCAGATATATACGAGTCGGTATATCCAGGAAAATCATTGAGAAAGATTACCACTGTGGAACTACCACAAGGGAAGTCAATAAAAGTTTCCTTCATTGGGGATAAATTACGATTGGAATCTGACACAGCTGAAAGCTTTTTCGTTTCATCAATTTCTCAAATTCTTGACCACATGTCTTCCCTTCTTACAACAGAAGATGGCAGAGGCATAAGCACGATTTTGTTAGTTGGTGGTTATGCAGAGTCAGCTATGCTGGGTCACGCTATCCGAGAAAAGTTTTCAGAGAAACGAATTATTATTCCACAAGAAGCTGCCTGGTCCGTGCTAAGAGGCGCTGTTATTTTTGGCCACGACTCAAGTCTCATCAAAGAAAGAATAAGCAAGTATACCTATGGTATTGCATCTAAGGACAAATTTAATCCAGAAATTCATGATAAGAAATACAAAAAAGAAGAAAATGGAGAAATTTGGTGCTACGATTTGTTTAGTAAACACGTGACAATAGATGAAACAATAACTGTAGGAGAGTATCAAAGTGACAAAGGTTACACTACTTATGGTGGAAACTTCTATGTTGAAATATTCACGTCCACCAAAACTAATCCTAAGTATGTTGATGAGGATGGATGTTCCTCAGTTGGAAAGATCTCTTTCGATGACAAGGAACACGACGGAGATATAAGAGTTCAGATGATGTTCAGTGACACAGAGATAGAGGTCAATGTTATTCTTGAGAGTACTCAAAAGAACAAGAAACTTTATTTGAAGCAATAATGTGCCTTTTTAACGTGTGCTGTTATTTCATATAAAAACTATTTTGGTATTTGTAAAGAGATATACGAGAAAGAAACATCTTTTGAAAATTAACATAGGGTTATATAAGCCAGCATTCTGAGTGTTTTATATATAGTACTTTGGCGTTTGTTACAATTTTGTAACTGAAAATACTTAAATGTTTCTTAAAGGAGTGGATTCAAAAAAAAATAACAAATTATTTCGTTTTGCTGGTAATTCTCCGCAGCATCTCGGAGAAAATCGTGCAAAATAAATTTTCATTGTTATAAATTATGTAGCTGTAGAACAAAGTCGAGAAGTAAATGTATTTGAACGGATACTTGTACAGAAGTCCGTATTTTATGTCAGACGCTTTTGATTGCTCATATGTTGATAACAGGAAAATCTATATTCTATCCTGATGACATAATAAATGTATTATATTTGATAAAATGAAGCTAAATAATAATTTTTATATATATTTCATTTCATAGAAAATCTTTAGCTTGGCAGAACATTTGTACTTTTCAAAGACATTTAAAAACAAGCATCTTATATGTACCTTTACAAAGTTCATGTAAAAGTTGTATTTAAAGCACCTAAGAGTTTGTACAAAATTACGGTTTCTGTATCATATAAACACAAATGCAAAAAACAAACACACATATACAGAGAGAGAGAGGGGGGGGGATACGACGGAAAAGAGTCATAAGTTTCTACACGACTAAGTAAATCCATTTATGTAATAATATAGAAAATACATATAAAACATTTGAGTAAATGTCAACAAAAAAATAACACAATAGAATTGATCATGCTTTTCCGTGTTTGCTCTGCTCCTATTTTGTATTGTTTTATGGACTTTGAGATTGAATACTGTTCGTTATATCTCCATATCCTTCTTCCAGCGACTTTTATCAAGTAAGTAAAAGTCATATGATGCTATGAATGACGTGGAACATTTACAAAATTACAAGTGAACTTGATAAAGCGGTGGACTCAGATTGTAAAACTGGGTCGTAAATGAAACATATGGAAAAACGAACAGTATTCAAGATCAAAAGTCCATAAAACAATACAAAACAGGAGCAGAGCAAACAGGGACCTACAAAACCTCAGAGGTAGGATCAGGTGCATTAAAGTAGTGAGCATCCCCTACCGACCGTTCACACTCGCCTTTTGTTCCTTGTTATGGTCGGGAAATAACGGGAAAAATCCGTCGTCAATTCAATATAGAAATAATGGACTAACAATATGTATGAAAAACGTCAGTCCGCATTTGACTCAATGTGTATTTGCTGACAAGGGCCTTGTATCGATCATTGAACTCACGAAATGATCACTTTGAACGAGACAAGTTCTTGTTTCCTCAACTTGTTTGTCAATAATTTACCTCGTTTAAGAAATTTTCCATACGTAGAGCATGCTTTTCCGTATCGAATCCACTGAGATATATTAATTCTGTATGCAGGTGATGGAGGAATATTGCTGCCTAAGTAAGGGAAGTTGACGATAGAAAAGTTTATGTCATTACGTTTATTATTGAGCTTGGTTGTTAGATTACCATTAACGTCTTTTTCATGTAAAATATCGAAGTATGAAACAGATGTGTTAGACTCTGTGGTATCTTTTATCTCAAACTCACCAGGATATATCGTATCGATAGGAATGGAAATGACCATTGTTATTTAACAGTAAGTCGTAGATATATCTAAATGTCGAGCTGAAGACCACAGCAAGTATTTTCTTCTATTCACGAATAAGATTTTGCACAAATTCTGCTTCATATGAATACAAAAATAGGTCAGCTAATAACGGGCCGCAATTGGTGCCCATGAAAATCCCAATAGATTATTGGACCTGGTCTCCAAATAATTTTTATTATTTATGTGTCAATAAAATTTTACTATGGGTTTCTTTGTATAAAGAGTGTTTAATTATTAAATTCATGAACGGTGTTTTCTTCATTTCAAATTTAATCTTTTCACAAAAGTTCAAATGGATGGACAAAAGAACACGAGCAAATTTGAATGAAAGAAATCCACTTTCTGCACGTCCACCTTTCCGCCGAGTGGACCGAGGTTGCCGAAAACCAGTTGGTCCTTGAGGAGGGATACGGTGCAAGGAGGTGTGTGCATTCAAAGGCAAACTAAGAAAAACTTCCAACCTTATTTCACCGTTAAGAGGAATGGATTTGGAGTAGGATGCCAATACAGCCGCCGTTAATATGACAAAGAAATGTTAGAAAACAATGTTGCAATAAAACTCTAAATATTACTTGATTTGACTTTTTAAAGTACACTCTGAAATTTTCAAAATGTAAATGGCTATAATAATTCTTGGATTCATCAAGTATACATGCAAATTCAAAGAATTGTGTGTTATGGATGCTATTATCTATGGCATATTGTGTCAAATATGAACACCCTATCATATGTCATTCAAAGGTAATCCCCAAAGTTAAAGGTTTTTTAATTAGGTCTAACATGAATGTCAGGGTGAAGGGGTCAAAAATCATATATGATCGAAAACATCTTTTTTTTATCGGAAATGCACATGTTAGATATAAGATTCCTATCTCCTCTCAATCAAAAGTAGGGGAAAGAAAATTTTTGACATGCAGGTCAAACTTCAAGGTCACGGTCACAGAGTCAAACACCATGGTATAATAAGACAGGCCTTGCTACAGGCAATATACTTGTATATGATGAAAGCGTTATCTTTTCTCTTTCAATTAGATCAGTTCAAAGTAATGGTAGTTTTTTAAAGGAGAAAAAGGGGGAAATCTGTAAAGGAGTGGAATATTTATTCATATTAATTACAAGGGTTTTGATATAAAATGCAAAAATCCAAAGACTAATCTATCCCATTCATGCACCATTTCTCCTTTACATCTTCTGAAGAAATGCTATTACAGATGTATAAATTCTAAGAAGTACTAGTCTGTGTTCATGTTTCTTGTATGTCAGTCGAGATCAAAGGTTTCAAAATAACATAACTTTATTCGCGAAAGTGTCACTTCATAACGCGAAAGTAACGCATACAAAAATGTGCTCAATTTATAAGATTTATTTCCCTTTACAGAACTCAACTTTTAACCGATTCAAATATATGTATACAGTCCTTTAACCAAACTTCCTCGTCTTCTGATCACTTTTATGTGAGACAAATACTAGTAATTGTCATAATTAATGCTGAGATTCTGGGTTGATAGGACTCAGTGGTAAGTAGAAATTACAACTTTAAAATTAGAGTTTTGATTTTCTTTCATTCAGATTTACATGTACTTACCACCTCGAAAATATTAATAAGAATTTGCACATGAAACTGCACTCCCTATATCATCATATACATTATATTTACAACTCGCAGAAAAAAAAGAATAATGTTTCAGTACTGATCATTACTGCCATATCCACACTTTAAATAACATTTTTCTAATGTGGACTCTGGAGTTCAAAATAGATATATGATGTTTGTATCATTAATAATTGTCTAAGTAGGACGATTTCGAAGCAAATGAATCTATCATTTGTTTCTCAAAAAAATTGAATATCTGATCCAGATTGATTGATTAAAGATCATTCTGTGTGTTGAATCTTTAACTGAAAAGATGATCTACTTGTAAATAATTTCAAATGACCTTCAAGATGAGCAGCTTTCAATAAAACATCACAAGTTGTTTTGAATTGCTAACTAATCATGGCTTTCTTGCTCTTGAAAGAACATGTTTAAAGATTTGTTCCTATATGTTCCTACAATGTAAGTCTTTGTTCCCGAATTATGGCCTCAACCTACCCTCAGGGGTCATCATTTGAATCTACATATTTGTCTGAACTTGTTGCTGATGATGTCATCTTCGACTATCCACTGTGCCATTGACAGTCGACATGATTCACAAACTATCCATAGGTAAAGGATTAAATAGTTTATTCCAAATCCCTTCCTCCTTAAAGAGAAATTAATCAGGAAAAGGCAAATGAGTTTTGCATAAACCTTTTAATAAACACGATACCAAAAAAGATAAAAATCATGCAGAAAATTTCAGACATATTCAGTGTAAATACAAGTTTGTACAGATCATTGGAAGGAGCAAAAAAATTGTTTAAAAATTCCTTACTGTGACGTCATGATTTTACAAAGCACACATAATAAGCACGTGCAATGTTTGAGGATGTTATTATGAAGGCAGCCTCAAGTACATGTAGTAGCCTTGGTAGGATGGGCCATAATTAAGGAATTTCTTATTTGGAAAAAACACAAGAGCAACGGATTCAAAATTATTATTTATTGTATAAAGATGCAATCTTCTTCAGTTAAGTGCAGATTATAAACTTTATTTCAATTTTGATTACATTGACAATACCGAAATATCCGGTAATGTGATTGTTCTTTGAACAATAATACATGCTTAATTGATGCCCATACATTTCAAATACAATTTTCCATTTCTGTTTAAAGTTGTACATTTCTGTTTATTGCATTTGATTGGACACCCAGTGTAATAAGTATTCTTGTAAGCATATGATTTTCTTGTGAAATATTGAAATTTTGTTTATGGATCCTCCAAGAGAGTTTGGATAAAGTCGTACAAGTAGATATTGAAGGATGGGTTGGATTTTGCTATTTTAAGCGAGCTTTTTGACAGCGCTGAAAGTGAAAATTGGTAACAATCATTCAGCATTGTATTTTACTGTTGTGTTTCAGAAAACATTTTGAAATAAATCATACCACTCTTTCCTTCTCTTGAGATTCCAAAATTTGTAAGAGGGTATCAAGAAATCATCTCATAGAAGTGGAAATATCTATCATGACTGACTAGACCATTCATCTGGTAAAGTTATCATAGTAAGATATCGTATAATTGGAAATTTTTAACGAGACGCAAATTAAGCGATTTTTTCTTGAAATTTTGAGAAAAAAATGACAAGTAGAAACGCATTCGTAACATGATCACGTGATTTTTATCAAAACAATTGTTTGCACACAATGTTATCAACATTTGTG